AAGTGCGCCTTATAGTGCGGAAAATACGGTACAGTTTTATTCTTTATGTTTTGATTTTAGAGATGCAAACTCAACCAGTTTCTCTAACCATACCGAAGCTAAAAATAAACCATAGGATTTTATGTAAAAGAAGACTAACAGCTATAGTCTTGTACTGTTCATCTGGCCACTGAGTTTGACAGATTGAATAAAAAGAAAAGCTTTTCCATGTTGCATATACAGTGAATATTTTAAAGTAGTAGTTTACTTTGATTTGGTTCAGAAAAAGTAAAAGTAAATCAGTACCTCAGTACATAAAACGTAATAAAACAACACTTATTGCAATAACAGTGTCTCTACTCTGCCCTCTAGAAGTAACATTTGTTGTGTGGCTAAAGCAGCAGACTGAACTAGAATTGGTATTAATATATCCGCAAGAGTAAGTGTCATAAAATGATTAATCTGAATGTGAGAAACATAAACATCTAAGCAGGATGTAAGAAGTGTAGTTTGCTGTACTGCCTTGAAAGGACTCATTGTGCTATTAGAGCATCTCCACCTACCTCAGCTTTCTCTTCATATTAGTGAATGAGTCTTGGCAGCTATTTAAACATCACTCCACATTTACTTCAGTGGAACCAGAGAAGATGCAATGTGATGCCAGGATAAGCCCAAAGAAAGTGTTTCCTACTCTAAACCACCGTATTTTCCTGGTGGAAACCATTTAGTGGATTTGTAGAACTTGGAACGCATGTCTCTATTTCCGAGGCAGTTCTGGGTAATAATCGCCAGGTTCAGTCTAAGAAGCACCCACCACCCTCCGTCCTTAGACGCAATGTTCAATGTGTAGGCCTGAACAGGGTTGTAATTATATTAAATTTGTGTTTGCATATGTTTGATTTGGTTTGATGTGGCACGAGCTAGGAGCTTGTGATTTGTCCTTTCAAAAGTGACTCTCAGCCCCAATGGAACAATCGCTGCTCTGTCTCTCTCTCTGCCTATGGCCTGAACAGTTTGTGATGGAAAAAGGAAAGAGTCCTCGGTCTTAGTACCTGGTGCGTCAGAACTATTTGCAGAGCATTTAGTGAACACACATTTTTGGTCTTGCCCACAAAATTATATTTAATGAAATGCATGAACACACAGTTAAGGCTGGCAACAGAAACAGAAGACTGACTGAAAGAAGGTTAATAATTGTTTTCACATCCAGTTTTACTCATGAATGAAAGCTTGACCAAAAACTTGCTTTAAACTCTTAATTAATGTATCTTTCTGTTCTGACAAAAGGCATTTTTTCGTGAAATTTATATCATCTCTCTCAGACTCTTTATGATGGAAAATGGCATCAGATTAAAGTACTAGTGAGGCATCTCCAGGTTACCGGTTTCCTTGACGATCAGCGCATCCAGGAACTAATGCTGACACCGGTGGAGCCAATTTACATCAATGGGGAGACGCAGGTGTCTAAGAGGCGAGGAACAGACATCACTGTACCTGTGAGTAACACGTGTAATCACACTGGAGCTTTGAGCCCTGACGCTGGTCTTTTACTTGATTTGATTTGAGGAGATTGGAGTGTTTTTATATGCAGAAAGAGTTTAGATCGTTGGCATGTTTAGCTTACTTTCTGATGATCCTTTTTGTTAAAGCAATATGTTATTTCAGTCCAGTACATTCATTCTGGGAGCTACACCACACCTGACCAAATATAGTATAGGAAATGCTTCTGGTAAGAATAGCCAGAAATTAGCCGTGATCATTTCTAACTCCGTCCATCAATTTCCTGTCACTTACCTGAGTTGCAGAGGGAGGAGCCTAAGCAGAATATTTAGATGCCCCCATCCCAGGCTACTTCCTCCAGCTCTTTTAGAAGGATAGTGAGATGTTCCTGAGCAATTATGCTTTGGAAAAGCTATTCCAGAAGCTTAATGGTTTACATTCCTAAACCAGTTCTGATGTGTTTCTGGGATCACTGTCCTGGTGGAACATCCACTCGTGTCCTGGGTTTAACCATCTGTGGTGAATTGTGAGGTAGCTTCTTGTTTTCATTGTTGCGTCCACTTTGTGCAGTGTACTGTAGCACCGGGAGCTAAACAGCTCCAGAGCATCATAGCTGGTGCAATGTTCTTAGGAAGGCTCACCTTTATTTCTCCTCTTGTCAAATAGCTCAATCTTTGTCTTGTCTGACCATAAAACCTTCCCAGAAATCCTTTGTCTTGTCCATGTGGACGCCCACTGTGAACAGTGACACTGATGCTGCAGCAGTTTCCAGTTCATGGCAACCCTAAGCCTGGGTGGTTCCTGGATTTTCTAAGCAATTTCCTATTATTTTAGGGTGACATCTGGGTATCCTTCCAAAAAAACTCGGGAAAAAAAGGAAATCTGCCGTAGAAATGGCTCCAAGAGTCCCTCCCAGTCTATCGTATATAAACCTACAGATTTCCTTTTTAGACTTTCAGTGACTTCTTGCACATGATCAATTTTTAAGTATTGGTCATTCAAACGAGCCAAACGAATTGTTTCATGCTGGCACAGGCAAACTACCAGTCATAGTTAATCATGATGATCAATGGGAAGTTAATAGGCCTTGTCAAGTTAAAATGTACTGCAGAACCTTCAAAACTACTTCCCAAAGTATTTTCAACATGTATGTGTATATTTTAGCCTGTATGTAAATAAATTAAAATTGCACAACCAATG